ACACAGCACTGGCATGCATAAGAATATGATGTAAACTTGTTTTTTAAAAGGCATCTTTGGTTTGCGTTAAAACAACTTCAACACACGCAATGTTCTGATTGCACCACAAACGCAGTAGCCATCCTCACCTTTCACAGAGGCACTGAGTTTTATAAATATGAGCATGACAGTGTAGAATAATCATATCCAAGGACCAGTGGTGGGTTTCAAAAAAATTTGGAACCTCTTCTGTAGGTGTGGCCTGCTTTCCGGGTCCACTGGTGGAACCTCTTCTAACCGGTTCGGTAGATTTGACGAACCGGTTCTACCGAATAGGTGCGAACTGGTAGGAACCCACCTCTGCTGGATAAATACAGAAGTGCCAGAAAAAAGGTTTGTGTGTGTGTGTGTGTGAAGGAAGGAAGGAAGGAAGAAGAATAAGGAAAAGGTCATGGAATATAACTATTTCAGAAGTTGTGGAAATCAGCATCAGAAAAAGCAGTAAATTACCACAATCTGACAATCCAGACAAGTGGAAGAACAAAACCAACCTATCCATTCAAACAGGGAAACGAAGCGAATTGAGGTGCTAATCGAATAAAGAGAAACAAGAATGGAAGGCTATGTACACAGCGGAAAAAGAGACATACAGAGCTTCAGAAAGTTATTTAAATCTATAGAGCTTATTGAAACCATCTCCCGCTTCTGAGTGGGAGTAATAGGTTAATCACAATCTACAAAATATACGCTGGTATAAGAATTGTCTTCAAAATATGCAAGTATTCTACGGAGAGGAGAGGAAGGGGAGGAAGGAGAGGAGAGAGGAGAGGAAGGAGAAGGGAGGGGAAGAAGGAGAGGGGAGGAGAGGAGAAGAAGGAGAGGGGAGGAGAGAGAGGGGAAGGGAGAGGGGAGGAGAGGAGAGGAGAAGAAGGAGAGGGGAGGAGAGAAGAGGAAGGACAGGGAAGGGTAAAAGAGGAAGTAGAGGGGAGGAAAGGGGAGGAAGGAGAGGGGAGGAGAGGAACTATTTTTAATAATTTAAATGTTGTATGGATAATCTTGATAGATATTGATAGAAGTATCAATAAAAATTGAGAAATTAAAATCCAATTATGAAATCTGACTTGTGAGCTTTTTATCATGATTTCTTTATGTATGTATTGCCCACCCTGTCTCAGCAACACTGTTAATCAGTTTTAAATTCTCTACAAAGAACATCATTTTTAGTCGCTCAATACTAATAGCTCAAAAGCTGAGGCTCAACCAATACTATGTTTTGTGCTGGCAATGAAGCAAACCCAAAATATCCATTCACACTTTCCCCCTGTGGACTTCCATGGATCATTTTCTATTGATTATAATTTCTTTTCCTGAACATTTTGCATTTGAATATATTAATTAGCTCTCCCCCTCCCCCAACCCCCAACTTGTGGAAGTTAATGTGTAGTGAGCATTTGGGTTGGAGGAAAGAACCTGTCCTAGAGTTTTTATCATCTTTTCTTTATGGTACAAAAAAAATGTCAACATATCCTATTTAAAGATGTAAATCGCATTAGGGAAAAAAAGGCAGATAACTTCTGTCCTGGTGTTTCTCCTATTTTAAACTAGGATGTTATTGATTGCAGCCAATTGTGTAATTCCGCAAGCACACCGCAATTAGTGCTTGGTAAATCCTCTTTTTCATCTCCGCAAAAATGTGACATCCAATATTCTGATTTCCCCTGTGCCAGCCACTAAATGATTCCTCGTGATTTCATTACACTGATGTCTGCTTATGGTGGGTGTATGTTAATCAATTTTTGTGCACCTACATGTGGAATAATTCCAAAACTTTGTTGCTGCATTGCTAAGCCCTGAGCATTTTTTAAATTAGGCTACCTCTTAACACTTTCTATTGTCTTCAAGAATATCTTACAACCATCATTTCTATCAAAAAGGCTTAAAGGAAAGAACTTTTCAACATATACCTCCCAGAGGTAGGCATTTTAGTTTTACAGTATCATCTAAAGAATTTTGAGGCATATAGAAGAGATCAAGATGCATTATTGCTAAATCTTTTATGAGATTTGTGATACAACTCTGTTATTGGGAATGATGTATCTGTTAACCATAGACAGAATATTTTCTCTTGTGATAATTTGTTTGCAGAATGCTCTTTCCAGATAAATTTGCCTTTATCTTCTCAAACAGGTATCATAATATTCCCTGGCTGTTTTTTTTAAAAAAAAATAAGCCTACAGCTTAATTTTAAAAGCTATAGGCTACTATTGATTCCACTTTTATTTATTGCTTGTAATATTTGTCTTTTGATATGTATTTGATTTTATTTACTGTGGCTTATATAATGGTCTGATCCAACAGTCCTCTGATTGATTGACTTACATTCCCTTCTGTGATAAAAGGTTAAAAACTTTATATAATGAAACAAAAGTACATATTAATAGTAATAATAATAGTACCTGAAGAAGAAAGTAGAGGTAGTTGGGGGGATAGAGGTAACCTATCTTAGATCTTTCATGTATACTCGATTGCTCGGAAAAATAACTGGCATGTGTCCTTAAGAAGTTGTACTTTAAAATGAGGTTGATAATACCAGAATTAAGACAAAGGAGATTTGAACACCTGAAGTTACATTATATTATGCCATACAAATTTATGGGCTCTGTCTGTCTGGACATCTCCATTTTATAATATTCAATTTAAAAAAATAAAGCTTCTTTTTGAGACAAGGACAGAGATTATATGGGCACATCTATATACTTTTGGGGAGGGGAAAGATACAGAAATGACATACTCTAAAACAGGGGTCAAACTCAGTTTCATTGAGGGCCGCATCACAGTTGTGTTTGACCTCGGGGGGGTGGGGGTGGGATGGGTGTGGCCAGCTTGATGTCACTCATGTCATGGGTACCTATGGTGGCCTAAGTGCTCTGCCAGTGAAAATGGGCTCCCACACTCCGTTTTCAGCTGCACTAATCTAATGTAATGCCTGTGGCGCTCCCAAGCTCTATTTTCACTGGCGGGCCGGTCCTTCGCTGTTTTCAGGATCTAAGCACCCCGCAGGCCAAATCCGCCCCCCGGGCCTTGAGTTTGATACCCCTGCTCTAAATTTATATATATTTATATATAAATGTATGTATGTACGTACGTATGCATGTATATAAAAGACTAATTTGAAGACAAAGACTAATTTTATATATAATTTGAAGACACATAGTGGATATTTAACACACTATGGATTGTTAAATGTAAATGCCAACTATTATGTACAGTATTTAAACTTTGAGTTAAAGTTGCAATACATGCAAGAATTTGGGAAATGTAGATTTCATTTATTTATTTAAGAGTTTACTCAGTAGATCCAAAGATTTGATGGATAGATGGATGGGTGGGTAGGTGTATGGGCAATAGAGAAAAAAATGTATATTCAAAATCTTAAGAGAGATAGGATTTCAGATTCCTAAGTTCTTTCTCACTTGTATTGGTGCAGTGGTTTTAATTAAACTTTACCAACCCCTTTGGTTTAATACCTTGAGCTGACCTTTTAACACTTCAGATGTTTTCGATGAAACTGCCAAACCTCCCAGTAAGATGGTAATGTTTGCATTTGGATAGGTGTCATCTTAAAAATAGCTTACATATTTATATATTAAAGAAAAGATCATCTTTGATCACTAGACCAAAATGTATTTCATGCCTGAACTCTGCTAAAAATTACACCTGGATGATGGAGCATCTAGTTAAGAACATTTTCTCTAATACTGACCCCCTACAATTCAGATCCAAAACTTTCCTGAAGAATAATTAGCATAAGCACCAGCACCGTAGTGAAAATTCATAAAAGCTATGCAAAGTTCTGCAACAGGGAATCGACCATCTGTTTCTAATTACATAAGTGATGGTAAACACTGTTAAATTCATTACATTTAATTGATAAGACCCACATTTAAGGTAACCTGAATTTAATTTAGAAACCACCCTCATATTTTATCCATGTGTGTCTATAGATTTGATAGCAAAAATGTTCTGATGTCAAGAATTTGGGCTAGTAGAGTTTTAGACATCGCCAAGGCAATTTTTGTGGTTTTATTTCTTTGGGATGACATGAAAATAAGATTAATTTATGTAGACTAAATATTTATAATAACTTTTTGCATTTTGCAAAGCATTTCTTTTTTTCCAAAATGTGGGTGGATGGACAATTGAATAGGTTTTGAATTTCTTTTCTTTTCTTTTTGGCCCCCAAGCTGAGATGTGTCTGTAATTTTGCTAAAGCTGTGATTTTAATAATTCAATCCGATGAGAGAAAAAAAAACCAGAACATTGTAATTGCACATAAAGAAATTAAAATTTTGAGATAGTTAATGAGTTAAAAGGTGACTCATCTGTGCTTCAAAGCACTTCGCTGTAACTTTTTAATGCCTGCAGCTCTCAAAGATTTTGGTCTCAGCATCACTTTACATTTTTAAAAATGATCAAGAGCCCCCCAAAGAGATTGGCTGATCTGGGCCATATCTATCAATATTTACTGGTTTAATGTCTATAGAGATTCTCAGTCTTCCATGGCTGTGCCAAAGGTTTTTTTTTTTCCAAAAAATAACTGAACTTCCTGTTTTCCTTGAAAAAGTTTTCTCATCCAGAACTGAAGAAGCCTCTAGAATGAAAAGCAAAACAACTTCAAGCAAAACAAAGAAAGTTCAGTTGCCTTTTAAAAAAGCACCTTTGGGATATATTTTTTTGGTTTTGAAAGAAATAATGTATTTATCTCACTTTGCAGAACTCTGAAAGGGTCTTGAGGATTCCATCCTCTAAAAACCACATCTGTATCCTATTACAATGCTTAATTCCCTAGTAAAGCAAATTACTTGGTTTTTAGAAAAAGCTAGAAAAAGAACTATCCGTTAGTGTTACCCATCTTTATGGTTTCCACAGTCCCACAAGGAACACATTCAATGTTCAAAAGACCTGCCACATGTTAGCAGATCAAAATTACCCCACATTTATTTTTTTATCTTTTGATCTACCTTTGCTTGCACTTTCTACATGTTCAAGTTCATCAGGGAATTTTAGGATGTCTTGATATTTCTCTTCACAAATATCAGCCAGGAAATGCAGCAGGGTTGTTTTTTGATCAGTTGATTTTGTGTCTCTAATCTGCAAAAATGGGGGGGGGGGGGAACAAGAAAGTGGTGAAACATGATTTTTTTAGGACTTTGCGTCAAGAAAGCTTTTTCAACATATGTTCTTGGATTTGCTTGCAAAGATAAATTAATTGCATTTCTAAGTTAACACCAATGTGCAATGTAGGCTTAAAATATTATTTTTAAAGAACCCTTAGGTTAATATATACATATATTAAAAAAAAAAAAAACAGGCAGATTTTAGCAGTTTATAATTTTAGTTCTAATGTTCTTTGTTCGCTCTGTGAAATAAAGAGGTGCTCCAATGGAAGAAAACTAACTTTTGTTTTGTTTTGTTTTATATGATTTTCTCCTGAAATGCTGTCTAACTAATTGGTGTGTCTTAAATCTCCCATCACTCAAATACATGACTGTGGATTATTCTAGAGTTATATATGCATACATGTAGGTTGTTGTTGTTAGTTGTGAAGTTGTGTCGCAACCCCATAGACAACATTCCTCTAGGCCTTCCTGTCCTCTACCATCCCCCTGAATCCATTTAAGCTCACACCCACTGCTTCAGTGATTCTATCCAGCCACCTCATTCTCTGTTGCCCCCTTCTTCTTCTGCCCTCAATCTTTCTCAGCATTAGGCTCTTCTCCAGGGAGTCCTTCCTTCTCATTATGTGGCCAAAGTATTTGAGTTTCCTCTTCAGGATCTGGCCTTCTGAAGAGCAGTCAGGGTTGATCTCGTCTAGGACTGACCGGTTGGATCACCTTGCAGTTCAAGGGACTCGCAGGAGTCTTCTACAGCACTAAAGTTCAAAGTCCTTAATTCTTTGGCGCTCAGCCTTTCTCATGGTCCAACCTTCACAGTCACACATTGCAACTGGAAAAACCATAGCTCCTTAAAACATGCTAATGGATTCCTACCAATGGTCTTTTTTCAATTCAAAAGACACCTGGTTTTATGTCTCTCTTGGGGTTCCAACCCCTTAATTGTCCTCCTTCCTCCACTTATCAATCTGGTCAAGGCCTTCGAGAAGCAACCTGATCAACTCAACAAAAAGGAACATTACATTCTGATTTGGATACTGTCCTTCTACTTATGCTGCCTGAAATTGTGTTTTGTCTTTTTTTTTTTTTTTTGCATCCAGATGTTCCACTTCAATTTCTGATTGAATATAATTCCAACTTCTTTTTTTATGGGTGCTGTTCTCAAACTAAGTAGCCCATGCACAAATCTCAGTTTGTTTGTACTAAACGTTTCTATTCTATTCTTTTGTTGCCAGGCACTATTTTTAAGGACCATTCATATGGTTGTAGCGTAGTGTCAACCCTGAAAATGACATGTGTGTAGCATTTGTCTATTCGTTTCTTAGATTTTTAGGTTTCCAAGTAAAGGATTTTAACGGTACTTCAGGCTCACCACTCTCTAGCTGTTGAAAGGAGAGTTATAGAGATTGGGGGGGGGGGAGATGTTATGTCTAGGTGACATTCTTTCCCATGGAAACATAGAAGATGCCTGCAGCTAGAGTGTTGTAAAAAAGACAGGACACGAAAGCCAGCTCTTCAGAGAAGGAAAAAATTTATTGCGCAAGTTCAGAAACAATGGCCTGAACCCCGAATGAAAGCAGGAAATTCCTTTTATAGTTTACCGCTTTTAGCTAAAGCCATCTGTTAATCTTGGAAACACCCCTCAAGATTTGCCCTTGAGTTACAGCAATATTATGTCTACAGGAAGTCATAATACATAGTCAGCTAACGGACAGACATGCATGTATTTTGAGGAACTGACAATGTGTCTACTAAACAGATTTACAACCAAGCCAGCAAATAGATTAAATAGAGACTTTGCTTCAGCATATTTCATGTGCAGACTTCCTAAAAGCAAACCTTTGCAATTTCTATATATGAACAGTTAAAACTTAATATCATGGAACCCTAGTTTGGTTCAGGCTTGGGGCCTAGTTTGGTTCAGGCTTGAGGCCTACTTTGGTTCAGCCTGCCACCTCAAGAGGAAGGTGGAGTTTGGAGTCACCAGACTGATGGACTGAGAATTGATTGGAGATTGTGACTAAGAGGGGGAATGTTTCAAACATTTGCTTTTAATCGGGTTTCATTCCGGGTCCTGGTCAGAGTCAGAATTACACTAAGTCCTTGCCAATTTGACATGTTCCTAATAAACAGACTTTCAAGGACAAGGTAATTTATCTTGGAATTTATTTCAGGGGACATATGACATGGAAGCTTAACATTGGCCAGGATCTGGAATTAGACCCAATAAAAAGCCAAACTTTGAAACATCCCCTCCCCCCCCCTTAGTCACAATCTCCAATCAATTCTCAGTCCATCAATCTGGTGACTCCAAACGTTATTCAAGCCTATACAAAAGAATCTGGTCAACTAAAGTTCAACACTAAACTGGTGCTAGATAAGGGTTAGCAGAATTCAGGAAGGGCTGGACTTGCAATGCTTCTAAGCTGATGACATGCTTAACTCCATCCCTCAGCTCTGCCTGCTTTTCTTATCTTTATCCTTTCCCTTACCCAGGCCTGTCCTTGTTGCGGCCCGCCAGCAGACAGTGAAGAGGTTGGGGAGGAACATGGGCCAGTCCTGGAGTCTGGGGAAGGCTCTGATGAGGGCTCTGTGTCGGAGGCAGAGATGGGGCCAGGGCCATATGGCAGTTATCAGCTGCCTTTGGAGTTGGAGATCAGTGGAGCAGAACAACAGCTGGAGCCTGTTCCCGATGTGCGCATGCGCAGAGGAAGGGAACAGCTAAGGATCGACGGGAGTGGATGGTGAATGGCCCCTCCCATAGGGAATAAAAGAGGAGCGAAAGGGGAAGGGTGTTTGCAGGAGACAATTAGTTCATTCCTGCATTCTTGCCAAGTATTATGGCGTTTGAAAGATATCGACCTGCCCAACCTCCAAGCCTGATAAAGATCAGCAATTGTGAACCATCTTGAAAGACTGTGGGAGAGGAAAGACTTTGCTGGAGAAGAATTCACTGTAAATTAAATAAAAGGAGTTTATCGGAATGAGGACTCGCCTTCGTGCTGCTGGGGAAGCCGAGGTCAGAACAATCCTATTCTATCCTACCCTAATTTTATGTTATCTACCAGAATCTTCTTTTTCTTCTTTCCCCAACTCTGCGTACTTTGTTAAATAAGCATTTAAGCACTCCCTGTACCTCTTCAAACCATTAATAAAAATGCTGAAGAGCACTAGACCGAGGGCTGAACCTTACTGCACTCTATTCAACACTTCATTTCAGGTTGATGAGAATTTGATATAAATATTATATGACTTTTGTTTTAAATGAGATGTGAATCCACTTAATAGATGTGACAACCAACCCAAATTTAACTTACTAATAAGATGTCTGCCGCATTTCGCATTGTTCGAATAGCAACAATTGTGAAAATGCTAAACAACCTCCAGTCAATTTATAGACGCAAAACTTCGAAAGCTACCACAACAATTTGGTAATCTCCTGACTACTAATGAGGCTGTGGGTTTATTCAAACACTTTTTTTTCTCTCTGAACCATACTTGTATAAATATTAACAGTTCAATGAATCAACAATCATGAATGCTTCAGTGCATATATCAAAACTACAACTTCTCCCTGCCAGCCTTGACTTGATGCAGTCCATGAATTCTAATGGAAGCCTCTTTTATTTAAGCAAAATTAAGTCCTGCAATTCTCTGCCAAGGGTTGTTTACAAATTGCTGCTTTCTTCAATCATCCCCACACGCTGCCGTATAACATCCGGATAGATAATGCATTTTTAAGGATTTGCAATCAACATAAAGATATTAGTTTTGCAGATACCCTGTTTCTCTGAAAACAAGAGTTGGATAATAAGCCCAATCGGGGTTTTGAATGCATGCGCTAAAATAAGCCCTTCCCGAAAATTTTGCAACACAGCCAGAGACATGAAGTTATCATGCTTGCCGCTTCCTGCACTTCAAAAATAATAAGACCTCCCCAAAAATAAGGCCAAGTGCATATTTCGGGGGTCAAAATAAAATAAGACCCTGTCTTATTTTGGGAAAAACACGGTAGAACCAGAAACGTTTAATGCATAGTTTCTGAGATGTCTGTCTTTCTACATCTGCCACTGAAAAGTGATCTTTCCTAGTGATTCAGGGATTAAAAGTGTGCAGGGCTATATTTCCACAAATCAACAGCACTGTTGTTCATTATATCAAGACAGCCCTTGTGACAGGTTGATGGGGGAGCTTTACCGCAGTCCACTCAATTAAAAAGGGTAAGGATACCATCAGTTGCTTTTAGGAGATGGCTTCCCAATAAGGAAGACTGAGATTAAACTCAATGAACATAACAAATCTCTTTTCTTCAAAGTTACATACATAGTTATTATGGCCCTTGCATTCTAGTATAACCTCATTCCCAGGCATGTTGCTGTTTCAAAGCCAACAACCTGAGTTGAAACTCTAATTACAGTAGTCCAGACCAGTCATGGATCGCAAATGGGATTTTATTTAGTGTTACACATCACGTTTGTAAAAAAAAAAATTAAAAAAAAGCAATAACAATAGCACTTAGACGTATATACCGCTTCACAGTGCTTTACAGCCCTATCTAAGCAGTTTACAGAGTCAGCCTATTGCCCCCAACAATCTGGGACCTCATTTTACCCACCTCGGAAGGAAGGAAGGAAGGCTGAGTCGACTTTGAGCCTGGTGAGAGTCAGACTGGCAAATTGCAGGCAGCCGGCAGGCAGTAGCCTGCAGTACTGCACTCTAACCACTGCACTGCCGTGGCTCATTTAAATAAAGATGAATCGTGTCCAGTCGTGTTTGACTCCAGGGATGGTACTTCTTGGTTAGCCAAGGGAGCCAGCATTGCCCACATTTCTGTGGTCATGTGGCCAGCATGACTATACACCGGGGTGCAGGGGACGATGTTACTTTCCCATCAAAGTGATACCTATTTATCTAATCGCATTTGCATGGTTTTCAACTGCTAGGTGAGCAGGAGAATTGTGCTCAAGTCTCGGACCT